ATATATATATATATATATATATATATATATATATATATATATATATATATATATATATATTTATATATTTATAATTCTGTTCATTTTTTTTGTCATTTCAACTTTGCTATCTGGTCTGTACAATCCTCTAAACACAACAGATTTCTAAATATATAACCTCACCATTGCTTACGCACATCCTTCTGTTAAAATATTTACACCTAAAATATGTACAACAATCTTAAAATAAACCCTGTGATTACATCATTCACATAATTGGAAAAACAGTCAAACATTTATTTATCCCCAGCAGAAAATGTCACCTGACAGCCTATTTCTCCACCATCAGAATTTACCCCTCATACTCATACATTCATTTCTACAGTTTTTTATTCAAATGAACTCTCTTACCTCTGCAGCTTTCCTAAAGAGTCTCCCACGGTGTTCTTCACCTCCTCCTTCCCAGGATTTACCACCTGCTTTTTTAAACCTGTAAAATTAAAAGGCATTTTTTTCTGTTTTTTTTTTTTCTTTCCTTTTTTGTTAATTCCCAAAACAGAATCCTAATTTCTGAAACCTTCTTATTATGACAGGGAAGGAAGTATCCACTAGATTTTTTTCTTATCGTCCTTCCATTCGTACTACTTGGGATTGACACCTGTAGTGCTAATAGTCCCACAGTGGTGAAAAAAGTCTTTGCAAACTTTTGGACCTGTGCAGAAGAGGAAATGGGATGAGCGTGCCGTTACCTCAGTAACATGTACCTCAGTATCCTAAAAGCCAAACAATCAGAATTTTATGAGTCCTTAGAAGATCCATTGATGAGTTAATTCAAGAAGAGGCAAACTAGAAGCATTGAATCCAGATTTTAGTCGTGAGGCATCTCTGTCCTGTTCATCTATGTGGTTGAAGAGAGTAAATCGTTCTGATCTCCTCTCATCTCATAACTCATTCATTGCTGTAGAGGAGGGGGAATGTGTAACTAGTTATCCCCAAAGCCAGCCCCTCGCTTTCACACATCGTCCACTTCATCAGCTCCACCCAGTCCATCCAGCTTGATTTATTTGATAGCTGCCACAAAGACAAACAAATAAAATATGCATAAGCCTAATATGCTAAGGAGAGACAGGAATAGGAGGACTTGTGTGAAGTAAAATGGGTGGGTGAGGCACAGCTTACAGAAACCCATGACAACCCCTCTTAAGTTTTTGATATTTTAAGCTTTTATTATTTTCTGTTTATGAAGAAATGATGGGGTCCATTGCATTTTGCTTGAAGCTGAGAATACAAATAATACAAAAACATCTGAGCCTGATAGAAATGAAACAGAAATGAAATTTTTGCATCCCTTTATGAAGAATATTTTTAATAGCAGATCATTCCATAAAATTACTCTAAAACATTACAAATTATATTTTAGCATAAAATCCACAAAAAAGGATTATGTGCTCTAAGCTAGAAAAGTTCTGATGTTCTGATTATGTATTTATTTTTGCTAAAAAAGGGCAAGAACCGAAGACATTTTCATGTGTTTTTTTAAAGCCAATCTGAGGGTTTTACACAAACACATCTTGTGAAATATCTTTAAAAAACAATTAAATAATCCAAAAGGCATTATATAAGACCCATTTAGGGTGTCTGACTACCACAATTCAAGTTGGAAAACTAGATCATTATTTGTGTTAAAGGAAAAAAGTTTGATTAGCCAAAGACTGTGTCTGCCATCTAGTGGCACAATTAGGAAAAAGCGATTTAAGTATCAATGTATCTGATTTGGAAAAAGAAACACTAAACACTAAAATTTCTGTATTTATGACATCTGGGTGCTACAGTTGGCATTGTAAAAGTAAAATCTCCCAGCAATTAAAAAGCTTTGTCAGCTTAGCTGACTTTACAGTAAATTCTCCTCCTGACACAAGGAGGAATATAAAAAGAAACTAATGTACATTTTGTTTGTCTTGATTGATTGATTGACTTTATTTTTTGCTATCAGGAATATTTATTTTGCTTCAGGATTAAAGGAATTATGTCTCCGTATGATCTAAAAAGAACTCATCCATGCATCCATCTTTAGTAGAAATGATTATTACAATGGTGTCT